GCGTGTTTCGTTTCATGATGTCGTCTCAGATTACACTATTTCAATCGCGCCACACTTTCTCCGCACAGAAGACACACAGGTTTTCCAGCTACGTCCACGAACATATACTTCGATTCCCACCTTGTTTGAAACCCCCGGTTCTCAGTGTCCACCTTCCGTTTTGCCATTTTTGATGGGTATCTGAAAGCTAATGTCACTGTTATGGGAACGACTGCTAGACTAATAAATATTTAAATAAAGCGGCCGACTGCTTGGCGCGTCACCGTTGCATTGTGGGAAATCTAGTATTGGTGCGTGTAAAAGATCTGCGGGCTCTCGGCTTGCTGCGGTCCGCGGGCCGGTTCTAATAATAAATCAATATCATCCCAGGGGCCACTGAAAACATTCTCGCGGGCCGGATTTGGCCCGCGGGCCGGCACTTTGACATATGTGCTTTAGAGCTATGTCATTAAATGAGCAAAATAATTCCACATGGCAGCCATTGGGGAGGTTACCGTCATTTAAATCACCGGGGCAACCCTGGCCAAGTAAACTTGTATAACGTTTAATATTTGTATTGTTTGTGTATTGCTGTGAATGTTTGTGGGGTAACTTGTATGCCGTTTGAGTCTGCGCATCCCGCGGTTGGTCAGTGCGGGCCCTAAGTGTGAGCAGTCATATTGGGCATAGCTCATTTTTGCAAAGTTGGGTACGCCGAATAATATTTTTGTCAAGATTTCATTTTCAAGTGATTGTCGAGAGTCCTATTTGAATCTTTCTCAGACGGGTCTTCGAAACCGTAGCCAATGTCCTCTTGCCACTGTGAGCGCAGCCTGTTGAAGAAAGGGCGGAAAGTGGCCTGGTTCGATTTTCAATGACTGACTGATCATCGAAGATGCTACAGAGCTATTTCTACTGCTGTCTTTGCTTTCTGTTCAGTGCGAGTACATGTGAGCTAAGACAAAATGAAACCATTTTGATAAAGGAACAGCTTTTTTTTCTCTCTTTCTACGTATATACTGTACTGTGAGCCGTGGTGTCTGAAAACCCAGCAGCGGACTTCAGTAGAATGCCATGTCTCTTGTGTGTGGGGGATGTTGTCATAGCAACTCCCATATCCTGTGAATCACAAATCAGTATGATTATCAGTCACTATTTTTAAGCAAGCTGAGCCAATTGTCGGTCTCCCTTTTAACGGAAGATGGCTTTGGATATTGTTCCCTCATATTAGATTCACAAGAAATCTTTGTGAAATTAATAAGGTATGAAGTGCAATTATGGTTCCATGGCCACAGAGGTATTTGCTGTGGAGTAATGATGTGTGACCTTTTTTTTTTTTTTAAGATATATAAATAAATCGCTCTCTGCTCACTGATGTTGAACAAAAGACATCAACTGGTACTACCCAGCCTGACAAAGCTCTGCCGCTTTAATCACCAAATGTCTGGAAGTGATTCCCCTGCGCTTAGGTCACAAACTTTGGGTTCAAAATAGGTTAGTGGAGAGTTGAGCAGTGAAAGATAATGTGGGAAAATAATTGACTGATGAGGGCAAATAAAGGTCTCATGACAGACAGTAGACCACCATTGAGAGGCTGTGACTGACCTCTCTGCTTTCTCTTTCTGTTTCTCCAACAACATGAAATGGGATGGCTCAGTGAGACTCTCTGCAACGCGGGTCCCCCCCAAAATGTGTTTTTGATGAATAATAATTTTTCATGATTCATGTTGCAGTTCCGAGTAACATAAGTCATAAACAAGCTGTACTACATATGCAAAATACTGGAACAAAAAAATGATAGTGCCGCAATGCTGCTGTGAGAATGGCCATTACAATAATAACGCTAGCATTGGCCTCAGACACTTATGACTTGACAACAGAGTCCACTTCATATGACGAGGACCTTGCCAGAAGTGGAAGTAAGCCGGAACGTGCCGCAGTCTGTCAGTACAGTACAGTCATGCCGTCGTAAAGTCATAGTTACAGTGATTATTTGTCTTCTAAACAACAGTAAGTAGTGCTGACTGAACATGCCTTCTGACATATTCTGACATCAGACACAATTCCTAATCTTGAAATGTCATTTGTCAGGTCCCTCGTCAACTGATAACATCACCATGTATATGTAAAGAGAGCATTCTTGCTCACTTCCCTTGGGCATTGCAGACACCTCCACCTTTTTACACCCTGTCTTCATGAACATGTCCTGCTTAAACAGTTTTACTCGGGAGCAATTAATTCTGTATTTTCCGCACTATAAGGTGCTTCAGAGTATAAGGGGCATCTTCAATGAATGGTCTATGTAAAAACTGCTTTCATATATAGGGTGCACCGCATTATAAGGCGCATAGAATAGAAGCTACAATAGTGGCTACCATTGCGTTATGCATCCATTAGATGGAGCTGTGCTAAAGCGAATACAATACAATACAATGCAGCTTTATTTACAAAGCGCTTTCACAACCGCTGCAGCTGTAACAACGCGCTTTACAGAGCATTTAAAATACTACGTCCAAGAAATCAGAACATTGATCTATATATAAGGTGCATCGGATTATTAGGCGCGCGGTCAGCTTTTTATAAAATTGAATGCTTTTAGATGCACCTTATAGTGTCGAAAATACGGGATGTGTTTCATTTGGCTGATGTCAGTGACGTACTGAGTGGTCCGTTGGTAGTAATAATCGCACCGATGGACAAAACCCCACTTGTGTCAGTCTGTTAATTTCGATTTTTTAAAAATTTTTATATTAAGTTTGTCGTCATTTGTCAGCAAAATGGGCATCTGTCAGTGACAGACTGACGGGCCTTCCGTCAGTAATGACAGAATACCCTCCTCCTGATCAGAGAAAGGCCACCCGACCTTAACTGGATAAATAAGTCAAGGTTATTGTTGACAACTATCAACATCAAGTCGTAAAGTGCAACTTCTTGGGGGTTCTCAAATTTAGCATTGAAGTAGCAACAAGAGTGTAGCCTGTAACAGCATCACTTGCCTCTTGGAAAGATGACTCAGCAAACGTGCACAGACATGGCTCAGATGACTGAACTTTCTTTTGGCCGCCATCATCGTTTGAGCGGGTGCATTAAACAATAGTGTGATGAAAAAAAGAAAAAAGCTTTGCAAAAGTACATTGTGCCACCACAATGCCCACATCATGGTCTCGATTGCAGAGTTTCATCTGTGGTGGTGGGTGATTCTGGCACATTCGCTGGAGTCACAACCTCGGAATCGAGGCAAAACTGCATCAGTAGTGATGATTGTTTCTCTTATTCCAGATTCCACTTTTTTCCCCGGGCGCTGTGCGGAGATCTTTGTCCATGGAAAAAGCGTTGGACATCTCGGGGTCCTCCACCCACAAGTCATTAACAACTTTGAGCTGACGATGCCTTGCGCCGCCCTTGAGATGGACCTCGAGCCTTTCCTGTGAATTCCTCTTTTTCTGCACCCTACTTGCAAACTAGCATAAGACAATGCCATTCTTAAATTGTAGTAGCAGAAATACATTTGGAAGTATGCCAGTGAATGAGGACAATAAAAGAACCAGCGCCAGAGTGTTGAGCCGTTTCGTTTTGTACATTAACGTCATTGAGCCTTCCACTTTGACTCACTCCACGGCACACGTGTCAAACTCAAGACTCGGAGGCCAGCTATGTCCCACCGCATCAGTTAATCTGGCCCACGAAAGCAAGTTTCTTGCGAAAATACCCAAAATTGCAAATTGTCGTCACTTTTAACAATGTGGCGATATTTCAAGCTTTTTTTTTTTGTTCACAATCCCCCTTTTAAAATAAATGTAATAGTTGAACAGTTTTTAACTGACGCCTGAATTCAAAACTTTTGTTGTGTGTATTTGTAATATAAGGCGTTCCTGCATTTTGTTTGGTTTCACAGTCATCATAGCCCACCGAGGCAAACCATAACTACGATGTGGCCCCCGATAAAAAATGAGTTGGACACCCCTGCTCTAGGGTTTTTGTCTGTGACGTCAACTAACCTGCATGTGTGCTCTTTTTCACGGCTTGTATGTGCATCGATTCTAAGCTCATCCTGTTTTGTCGCTTGTGGTTTTTCTAGTGGCCACACGGCTGAAACTCACCTCACCCAAGAGGTTCCCCTCCAGGAAGTTATCAGACACAAGTTCCCCACTGAAGTAAAAGCCCCACGAGCTTCCGCGTCCTCCAAAACTGTGTTTGGGGATTTGAGCACACCCAAGGCTCTCAAAACCCTCAATGATTTCCTGTCGGACAAGAGCTACATCGAAGGCTTTGTAGCATCTCAAGCTGACGTGGCCGTCTTTGAGGCCATCGCCTCTGCTCCCTTACCGACTTTCTGCCATCTCCTGCGCTGGTACAACCACATCAAATCCTTCCACGGGGGAAAAGCCGACCTCCCTGCGGTCAACAAACAGTTTGTGCTGCCAGATACTCCTCCCACATCCACCAACAGCGACGAAGACCTAGACCTCTTCGGCTCAGACGACGAAGGCGACGGCGCAGAGGCAGCGAAAATGAAAGAGCAGAGGCTCGCAGAGTATGCGGCCAGGAAGTCCAAGAAACCAGCAGTTATCGCCAAATCCTCCATCCTTCTTGACGTCAAACCCTGGGATGATGAGACGGACATGGGCAAGATGGAGGAGTGTGTCCGCAGTGTTGGCATGGACGGGCTGTTGTGGGGACAGTCCAAGCTGGTCCCGGTGGGTTATGGAATCAAGAAGCTCCAAATAGGATGCGTGGTAGAAGATGATAAAGTGGGCACGGATCAGCTGGAGGAAGCAATTACCGCCTTCGAGGAATATGTTCAGTCTGTGGACGTGGCTGCCTTTAACAAGATCTGAATGAAAGGGTAGCACACGGCCGCTTGGCTACCCTTTGTTTTCACACAGATACAATGAGGATCAACCATGCAGAAGAACCAGCTTCTCAGGGTGTGGTCACACTCCGCTGGTTTTTGTTTCACTTCAAATGGACACTTGCGTGGTTTGTTTTGTTAAGTGCAAACCCTCCTCTGAGTAATCTCAGTCCGCTGGTGTGGTTCAGGTCTCTTCACCCTATCATGTTTTTCTTTATAGATATTTTTTAAAAACAGGTTTTACCTCATCAATGTCATCTCAGCCGGTAAAAATAATAGCAGCACAAAGTGAATCAGGACCAAATGTGTGATGCAAAATGCATCCGATCATTTTCTGCGTTGTCCAGCACACCCAAATTAAAAGTGTCGGCTTATCCTTAGCTATCCTCTCCTGACTGTTGGATTCCCATCTGAAAAGAAGTCAATAAAGCTTTAAACTTTCAATGCTTTTTTTTTCTCTTTCAGTTCTGTTTGTGAGCTGAGGTTTTTCTCTCCTTAAGTGAAGTTAATAAGGAAAGCATGCTGACAGGCACGCCACCGTTCCTTCAAACATCACTGTTCGCCCAAAATATTGGCAACATAGATGATGACTTGTAGAAACTTGCAGGATAATTATGATTAACATCCCTCTCAAACAACTTTTCTGTTCAACCGGTTCTGTTTTAGGCAATCTTGGCTCTGATCCTTTATTGGAGCCACAGCATAAGTGCTCGCTTGCAATGAGAACGTGATCACTAGTGTGTCTTTTCAGTAATTATATGAGAAGATGACTTTATATTGTGCAACGCTTTTCTAGTAACACACCTTCACATGCCAACATCGAAACACTGTCTGAAGTCATCGTTGATCCCACCCTTATATTTGTTTGGGGGAAGCGACCGGGTCACTGTACAAATGACAAAAATCTGTGTGCAATTGACGACCAGTGAAATGTAATGGAAATGCGTTTGCTTTTTCAAACCCAAAACATAAAAAAACAGAAAAAACCCCATCTGGAAATAGGCAGGTTTACAGGTGCCAACAGTGAGTATGCGTGCTTCGATTGAATTTCAGAGATGGTGCAAATTGTCCTGCTTTAAGAAGAATGCAATTTTTTCAATCAACTAACTTTCAGCGGGCAAAAATTTCGATTTATAGGAACACCATCATTTTATTAATAGAATGGTCTAAATTTGCGAAAAAATATAAAATAAAGTAAAACAAAACCACCCTCAACAACCCATTAAGTATTTATTAGGATTCAGTATACATAATATTTGTCACTACAAGTGCAGATTATAAACATTTTTGAGTACTGGTTGTTTTCTTCAATGTTCTATTAATCATAACCCTAGTAGAAGGAAGACTCTGTTGACCATTATAGAATGAACGAGTCCAACAGCTGTATACGTGGCATACTTGCTTGGTACTTCAATCTCTTTGCGCATCCTGGCACTCTGGTCATATTTTGGTACTTTGTGCCACCAGAACAACAAATGCAGGCTGACCGCTTTCATAATCTGCCGAGTACCCACTAAGGCTCCCACTCCAACGAGGAAGCGGGCGGTGCCAGACGCCAGTGCGGATCTTGTCAGTGTGGGTAAGGGAACAGGCAGAACTCCTTCGGGCTCAAACGTCTCCCCCAACTGTTTGTTCACCCAATATCCCACAGAGCAGCCAGCCCCGACTCCAAGGATGGTGGTGGTGTCCCCCCGGGTGGTGCTGTAATGCTCCAGCTCTGGGTATGTGTAGCTGAGAAAGAGGGGCAGCGTCAACGCCAGGATTGGCGACATTCTACTGGTGAGCTGGAACCGGTCGAAGGCTTCCCAATAGGGGTGTGTGAGGAACAACAGGAGGGCTGCGAGCAAAACGCCACAGACGACATCCTAAAGGAGAAATAATGATAAATTATCAAGACTTAATAATTTAGCACTTTGCATGAACCATTCCATGCACCCTGTAACCTGATAACATAATAAGCTGTACACTGCAATAATTGCTGTCCCTGAAAGGGTTAATTACTTGCACTTTGAAACAACTGCAATGTTTTACTTTCTTTGTTTTGATTTCATATTGGTTGATAAAGATAAATATTGACCCGGAGAAAAAAAGGCTGAATTCAAGTCATTTTGTTTTGAAATAATACTTAATCTTTAACTCATTTACTCCCAAAGACGTATTTAGATGTCTTCTCAAGTACAGTCAATATAAAATGAGGAGCTGGGATTAAATGTGTGGCGTCTGAAAATACATCTAAATACGTCTTTGGGAGTGAATGAGTTCATAAGAAGTCAACGCAACTATCAACAAGCCAACTAAACTGGTCAATACAAAGATTACATTAACGCCTTTCTAAACATAATGTAAAACTTAGTAGGGCTGAGCGATATGGCTTTAAAAATGTTCCACAAATATATGTACTTTACATCTACGGACGCGTGAAACTGCCAATGTGGAGTAAAAATATTTGGACTGGCAAATAAGGAAAAAAAGAGAGAGAGTGCAGCAAGTTCCCGGCATTTTGGCTCTTACGCAACATGAAAATAACCCAGTTTTAAATTGATCCCTTTTCGACCATCAGGAGTTTTAAAAATGCCGATGCCAATAGGCTTTAAAATGCCAAAGATCGGCGTCAATAATCAGCCTGACAGACAATCGGTCCATCTCTAGTCTCTACATGTGCTCTTCTAAAGACTGAAATGTTTTGGCTCTGATGTGGTGATTTTTCTGTACAAAAATCAATAGGGGTGACAGGGAATCTGGAGCCTTTCCGAACTGACTAGATGAGAGGCACACAAAAACAGCTACAACAATTCACATTCTAGTGTAGATTAGTCGTAGACCAGCTCAAATCATGAGTTTGTGTTTGTTGTAAAATTTTGCCCTTAAACCAAATTTTGCGTCAAGATTTTTCAAGATCTGGGAATTTGGCCATTCATCCTTTCGGCAACACACCGTTGACATCATTGCTGATTATTGTTTACAGCCAACGTTTTAGGAGGTATTTTGAGAACGGCAGATGATGTCTTTAAAACCCTGCCAGAAAGTTTTAACTAGATACGAATGAATAATGTATTTTGAATTGAGCTTGAATGTTTAATGCCGCGCCCGTGAGAGTGTTTGAGCGAGTATGAGGCCGACAAGCTCACCAGAACTGAGTGCATGCCGGTGTAGAGACGACTCAAGCACACCATGGTCGACAGTGTCACAGCCATCAGCAGACCCATCTCAAACTGGAACTGGCACGAGGAAAAAAAAAATGCAAAACGCATGAAATGGTGACTGATAAGTGAACATTATGAGATCAAGAATGTGGTGTCATGTGAAGTCCTGACTACAGCATTTTAAACCTTTTGCCCCGCCCGCTCTCTTCTTTGTAAGTTTGTCATCAAATCTCCCATGTGGCCATCCTGTTCAAATGTGACGTGCAAATCCTTTCTGCACGACGCACTGGCCGTCATGAAGTGTGTGCGCTTCACTCCTCCGACTCTCCATCGTCTGTCTCTTCCCAGCATCTTTTACCTCCAGCCGCAGGTTTTGTTTCTCCACCATTTCAATAACAGTGACAAGAGAAGCCTTCTGCATTCATCTCCCACCCCCTCCACTTTGGTGTCTTTTCATGTCGGCAAGCAGCTGGAAGCCTATTCACTGGTAGTTTATGAAGAGAGAGTTTTTTTTCTTCTTCTTCTTCAATAGCCACAAAGGATGCCAGGAACAGGAGGGGGGGTCACTGTGTGATTGACTGTGATGACCTCTGACTTGCTCTGGGAAGTTGCCCTGAGGCCTTATAGACATTCAGGATGTTCTACATCAGTCCAAAACTCATCTGCAGCAATGCAATCTCTTTGTTTCGGGGGATTTCTGGTATTTCAGACCAAATTGAAGCGCCACGCTGTACATGAATGTGTTGAGCTTTTGAGAGGATTTATTTCGCCTTAAGAAAAAAAAAAACCTGCACCAATTTTCTCAAGAGCCCATAAATGATTCAGTCTCCATTTTCATCGAAATAGCTCTTCATTTAAAACACCAATCTTAATGAAGGAAGCCCATGATTGAGCCATTGAGTGTTTTATTGACACGCTGGTGGACTTAAAGCGATAAAGAGGCGAAGGACTCATGAAGAGGAGGAGGCGGGAGGTTGCGACGTGGACTGACAGTCATTGACTCCCCCGGAGTCCATCGGGAGACCAAACAGTAGCTTGACAGATGTTAGTTGCTCGAGACTGATGGAAAGTGCAGGCCCCACCCCTCCCAGCCCTTTGTCCAGCCCCCTCGTTGCGACTGTTTGATAGACAGTGGGGTCGCTCCCCATCTTCCCACTCAGCGAAAAGTGATGAAGCTTCCATACGCTGGCCTCAATAGTGTCCCTCCACCACTGCTCAATTCAAGACGGCACACTAAAACTCCACTAAAACTGTTAAAATACCAGCACACCCTCCCCGCCCTCTCCCCTTTTTACAATGAGCCATGCCAATCGGCATTTGTTTGTCACCCTCTTTTGCAGTCGAGATGTATTCGAAACTTGTTTCATGATTTTTCATTCCACCTTTGAATATGTGCAGCTCATCTTTCGCGATTTGTCTTTGCGCTATTTCGAGCCCCGCCCTACTCTGCTTCTCACCGGCGAGTGGATGTTAATTTAACTTCGCTGTACACTATTGGGAGTTTCATTCTTTTGATTAGCTCTATTGTGGACGCAGTTTAAGAGCTGAGCTAAATTCGACTCTCTCTGACTCATTATTTGAATGTATCAACAATCATGCATAACGTCAGTTTGCCTCCTCTGTGTTTTCCACATTTAACTTTCCATCAGTACGTTTTTCAGCAGATTTGTAAGGGGAGATAATGATCACTTGTTGCCAAGCAACTCGTGCCCACTGATGCGAAAAGAAAAATTCATCTATTTTGATATAATGTGTTCTAAAACTGACGAACGGCTGTTTTTCTGGTCATCTTCAAAGGCAAAAGCCGAAACATGGCAATGTTTCATGCATTGTACCCAATGTTTTTTTTTCTATTTAACCCTTTCATGCAGCCTGTAACCTGATAACATGATAAGGTGTCCACTGTAGTAGCCGCTGTTCCTGAGCGGGTGTGGCATGTCTGGCTCACAATTTTCATTCGTGCTATCAAGTGTTTCTCACCTGGATTCTGGAAGGGGCACTCAGTAGCAATGTAAAGGAGATTGCTGTGGCGGCCATGGCATGAGTCGAAGGCAGCCCATACTCTGCATCAACACGCGTCTCCAGCTTGACCACGGGAGGGGAGCAAGGACGGGGCAACTTTAGGACATCCTTCATCACCTGGCCGATGTACATCACCAGCTACAAGTGAGGAAATAGACAATTCTTCGTCTGAGTGATGTAAAATGAATGGACATTTTCTTTGTTGTGGATAGCAAGAGCATAGAAAACGTAAGGATACTATTTTGCACATTGTAGCCTAAGTGGACAATTCATAACAACCAAGACAAGGGCACAGAAAATCCGACAGGACCCCTCACACCCTGCCCACCACCTTTTCCAGCTACAGACGCTCCCCAGCTTACGAACGAGATACGTTCCGAACGATCGTTCGTAAGTTGAATTCGTTCATAGGTTGCTGCAGTGCTATTATAGCACTGTGGACGGCGTACCCCCGTGTACCACGCCCACTACACCCCTGGTGCTATAGGAATACGCCGCTGCTGCTGATCCTCGAGCCAAATGGTGAGAAGTTTCTCCATTACTTCTAAGATTTTCCCTCTTTTCTTGCAAATGATCGTCGATTGCATCGGCACTGCACCTTTCACGTGTTCCATTATGCGATCTTTCTGTTTATAAATTGTACCGATGGTCGAACGATTCATGTTGTATGCACATGCAACGCTCACCATTTTCTCACCCGCATCAAGGTTCTTTATTATTGCCACTTTCATTTGAAATGAAATGGCTTGCCTCTTCTTTACACTTCCACTCTCACTAGAAGCCTTTCGCTTTTCACCAACCATATTGAATAATGAATGCACGAGATATTTAACAACTGGGCAGAGGAAGCCGGATTCGGGGTGGATGCTGGGCGAGCTCTCACAGCGCCTCACGTCGGTATTAGCGGTGGAAAGAAGCACTACAGTACCTGTACTCTGAAAAAGGCGCGCAATACAAAATCTAACTTTTTCTTTTCTTTTTCGACATACCCGTAAAAATGTTCGTATGTTCCGTTGTTCGTAACTCGGATGTTCGTAAGTCGGGGAGCGTCTGCACTCCCCTCAGGCAAGCGCTACCAATCCATGCGCACCAAATCCAGCAGAAGTTCAAACCCCTTCTTCCTTCTAGCCATTAACTCCCTCAACAGTAACCCAAATCTACCTGTATAGTGGCTCTTTGCAATTTTACACACCCCTGTGGAACAGCATTACCGCAATAATCATTGTAGCTCCAGCTCTGTACTTACTTCAACCATTGTCGCTGATCTATAGTCCATCGCACCAGACACTTTAAAACACCCAAAGACTTCTGTACAATTGCACACTTAAACTTTTTCTTCAAATACTGCTACTGGTCACTTAAAAATGGCGCAATGATTTTCTGCACCAACTGCACAACTCTTACAGTATTGTATTCTGCCACTGATCACTTTTGCTCTGCTTGACACTTTGGACATTGTGTCACAGCTGTCATTGGGTGGTACTATCGTACAACGGTGCCCTTACGTTACGAAATGTATTTCTATACTTATTTGTCATGTTTTTGTTTATGATGATACTAGTGTAGCCCGTACTACCGGAGACAAATTCCTTGTGTGTTCTACTTACTTGGCCAATAAAGATGATTTTGATTCTGATAAGGTAAACCAGAACACACCCCTACCAGTCACAGTATATTATTTGCAAAATATAATAAAAGAAGAGCTACATCAAATATTCTTTTCCAAAGACGGTCAAGCTTAATTTCGATTGACACTGTCAGATTGTTATTGCGGCTTTTTGCATGTGTAAAACCGTCCTGCAATAGAGTGAGAGATGTTACTGTCACTAAATGTGGCAAACAAACAACTCTCCTGAAGTCGTACACTTCGACACCCCTGCAAACTACAACCAAAGTAAAACAAACAAAAAAAGAGTTAATACTTGTTTTAGTCAATTGAAATTCCAAATTTGGACGCAGCGCCGGTATTGGATAGGATATCTTACGCAAGTGGTCATAACATTTGGTTAGTTAGTGTATCATGCATCAACAATAACACTAATGCATTTCTACATCACTACAAACCACATTTGACAAAGTCCTATTTTTTTTTTTGTCACTTCAAATGAACTTGAATTGTTTTAAAAAGGCAGAATTTCTAATTGCTGCTGCAAGTCACTATGATTGTGTAAAGTCTACCCAATAGAGTGTCTGCATGGTGATCCTGTATACAATATTCCATTTCCTGCAGTATTCTCTGTAACATAATGGCGTCTCAGTTCCCCACTGGTAAATAACAGTAATGGAAGCTGTAAAATTCTAGAGGACATAACCGTGAACAGTAAAACTTAAAATCCCCAATTAGTCCGTGTGCTAAAAGTAACCACACACCCATGAATAAGTGATTACAATCTCAACATAAAAAGAGATGGGATAAACCCCAGGGGCTGCAGTCGTATCGTACAAAAAGACGGTAAATTAAAGGGGAGAGGTTTGACATCACAGCTTCTTAAAATGGTGGGTTCAATATTCCGCCATAGGCGATGATGTATTTCTTGACATGAAGACACAAGTAGTGCAAGGGTTCTGCGTGCATTCTTTGTGGGTGGAGTGCACAGGTGTGCGTGTAAAGTACCATTTGAATGTGTTTGCTCAGCCAAATGTGCCTTCTCCTCTCTTCCCCAGGTGCCCTTAGAGGAGCAGCCGGCTCAACTCAGTCTTATTTAAGGAGTTGCTTTTTATATTTCATGAATGGCTGACAGTGAGAGATAGGGACGCCATGTGAGGGCACATGGCAATAATGACAGTAATAGTAGAAAGGTCATATTTTCAGATGCTCAAAATGTAATCAGAAAATACGTGTTGGTGTCGAAAAAAAGGTCTACCGACCTTCTGATATCGTGCAGGATTACAAGAGAGAAAAAAGGCTGAATATGAGCGTCATAAGCATCCACTTTCATTCCACATTTTTGTGAAAGTAGGAAATTAAATGTGAGGTTTTAGTTTTTATGGGGATTATGTCTGCGGTAGGGCGGCCCGGTAGTCCGGTGGTTAGCACGTCGGCTTCACAGTGCGGTGGTACCGGGTTCAATTCCAGCTCCGGCCTCCCTGTGTGGAGTTTGCATGTTCTCCCCGGGCCTGCGTGGGTTTTCTCCGGGTACTCCGGTTTCCTCCCACATTCCAAAAACATGCATGGTAGGCTGATTGGACACTCTGGATTGTCCCTAGGTGTGAATGTGAGCGTGGATGGTTGTTCGTCTCTGTGTGCCCTGCGATTGGCTGGCAACCGATTCAGGGTGTCCCCCGCCTACTGCCCGAAGACAGCTGGGATGGGCTCCAGCACCCCCCGCGGTTCGGAAGATGAATGAATGAATGAATGTCTGCGGTAAGCATAATTTTTTTAAAATACCTGGTTGTTTAACTGTTTTAAAATTTTATCTTCAGCTCATTTTTTAATCAGGAAAATTACATTTGCTTGCACTTTTGACTACAGACTACCCTCAAAACACCCCTTAGTCAGCAATATATTGTAGCACCCCTTAGAGTCTCTAAGGGGTGCTACATTGGTCGTCTAAGGCTTAGACGACCAACGTCTTGGTGGGAGAAACTGGACAATATTTATCCATTCAAAATCATTGTATACATTGTTAATAATTTCCAAAAACGGTGTTAAATTGGCACCAAAATTTATGTGGACAACTGTACTGATGCGCACTTCAACTTCTACATGACTGACCTCCAAGAGATTGAGGAAATGAGCAGCTTACATACAGTAATTCTCTCATGCCAAATTTGCTTGGTTTTATAAATCCCCAGGATATGAACACACAATGCGTTCCGAGATGCTTTTTGTAAGCTGAATCGTTCATAACTCATTAAACATGACTGCGTGAAGAATAATCCACTCGCATGATGATTAAACAGGAACGATGATGAGAATTCCCCCAATTCACTAAAAACTTCACAAATGCGCCATTGCAATTTAGAATACCATTAAATTGAAATCAACCGGACCATCAACAAGAATTGACTGTCTGGGGAAAAGCCTCCAGCGTAATTTTATTGGGCTAAAGCAGTGGTTCTTAACCTGGGTGCTGGGTTCGAGCGAACCCTACGGGTTCTGTGAAACAGTCTCAGGGTTTCGACGGAGCCTCTGCCACGGAGATTAACACACAGCCGACTCAACATGTCAATGAGCTATGACACGCCCACCTGGCCATCACTGGCTGCACATGATCACATTACATTGCTTGTCCAATCAGTGCTGCGGGAAATTTAGTTCGCTCTGTAGTCACCGTGTGACTGCCGTGATAGTACTCTACGTCATGCGCGGGTCATTTTGTGCACAACTAAAAAAAACGTTTACTTATGTCTTGAAATATTATTTACTTTTTTCAATTTTTAATCAATGCGTTTTTTTTATGTGTTGAATTTATAAAAAAAAAAAACATTTTTATTTTTCACTAATGATGGTTTCGGTGAATGTGCACATGAACTGGTTGGGTTCAGTACTTCTAACAAGGTGAAGAACCATTGCGCTAAAGTTTGGCAAGTTTATGAAGAAATGTTTCAAGGTTATCGGAAATTGTTCAACCACGACTAACAGCTTGTATCTGAATAAATAGCATGATCGCGCAGTATATTTTATATTACGACCAAACAATGCTGTATTTCGATACATAGCAAACATGAATGTCAAACTAAACATGAGCTTGTGTGCAAAATCCCCTCTTTTGTTGTCATACCTAAAAATAATGTTATTCCCTTGCATTTCAACAACACTAATTGCAACACCTACTCACTAACACACAACCAGTGCCACGAAATGGACAATAAACAGAGGCCAGGCAATGCTGAGCCCATTAAGCACGCCTGGCCTCATCTATTAACCGTGGCTGCATTCACACAACACGACATACTGAGTGGACCCTCATCCTTCTACGTCGCCCTCCTCTGCATTCAAACAATGTAGCCCGAAAGCGTGGCTGACATGATACCCACTCTGCACCCACACATCACGTTCAGCCCTGTGATGCCAGCCTCTCACTGATGCCTTTGTACGAGTCACGTTAAAAAAGGCTGACCTGGGAACTGTATGGTCATATTTCGGAGTGACAAGAGGTCAAGTCACAGGGAAGTGTGTCCATGTGTGAGGCTTC